CCCAGCAACTAATCCTGGGGCTGGAATGTATAAGCACTAGTGGATAATTCCATTATTCATCAAAACCAAATAAGTGAAGCCAGGTGACTCATGCCTTTAGTTTCAGGGCTTTGAAAGGATCACAACAGGATCCCTGCAAGTTCAAAACCAGTTTGTGCTACATGGTTGGTCTAGGTCATTGTGGGCTTCAGAATGATACCTATTCTCACAAAAATAAAACACAAGGCGGGTAGAGAGATGGCTTGCTCATTAGTTTTTCACAACTTTCCATGGGCTCTTAGTATCTTCTACATTCACAACTGTGTCCTCTGCAATAAACAATTTATATTTCCAGTTCCCTTGCCAGCACTTTATTACCAACCAGTCATTCTTTAACATAAGCCTAACTTTTAGAATACAATTTTTGTAAATGCTGGCTAGTTATTATTTCTATGATAAAATATTTTACAAGGACTTTCAATTAAATTTATTCAAATAGAATGAATTTTTCAGGAAATTGTATAGCATGTAAGCCTTACATAAACCACTGGCTGCCCTTTTTTTGGTCGGGGGGCATGGCCATGGCTGGTCTCTGGTGTCTGCCATCCAATGTACAAGAAAGAAGAAAAAGAGAAAGCTCGACAGGCAATTTCTTGTTAGGAAACAGATGGAAATTGTGCCAATCATTCTTATTGGTATTTCATTGAAGTAAACACAGCTATGAGGTACACCTACCTGAATGGGCAAATGGGGTGTAATCTCTAGAGGTACAGCTTGACAGGATGGAAAGGGTTGAGAGAATGATCTCCAAAACACATTTTGAAACACTTTTGCTGAGCTAATGCTTAGAGTTTTGGTCAAATATCCAGGAAAATACACATGCACACACACACACACACACACACACACACACACACACACACTCATTTCTAGTGAGTGATGATGGTTTGAACAGAATGTCTAGAAGTAGTCCCAAGATGTGGATCTCCATTCCATCAGGGAGGGACGAGTTATTTCACCTCAAGGAGAACACTGATCATATGCAAAACGTGGCAGTGAAGAACAAGCTGGCTTCTGTAGTTTCCCCCTGGCATGCTTCACTTTTTTCCTGGGCTGTCGCTAGAAGAAAGAGCATCAAAGTTGTGGAAAGGTGGAGGGAAGCCATGAGGCACAGACAGGCTGGCTGCAGGACAAGGTGACAGCTAACAGCAGGGATGGAGACCTAACAGACAGAATAGAAGAGCAGCATGTTATGAGACAATCTAGCACAGAGAAGCCTGAGTGTTCTCTGGAGATGTCACTGTTCTGCTTCCTGCAAGTGTCAAGCAGAGGAAGTGATGCTCAGAAGGGGCTCTCATGCAGAAGGCAGCCCTTGGGATGGGACACGATTCAGTGCCATGTATATCCTCTCCATTGCTCTTGACTCCCCTCTTCCCAGCATTCTGCATCACAAACCAATCCTGGGGTAACTTGTATTCCAGTTCAATGAGACTGAAATGAACATTAACAAAATGCTTTTAATGAGGAATGAAATCTCAAAGGGAAAGCTTATAAAGCAATAGGACCGTCACTGTGTACAAAGATGGCTAAGTGTGTCAAAGCTTGAAGAATAGAAATGGAGCTGGAGGATAAAAATGTTTCTCTATTCCAAGGGTGGACTTAACCCAGCTAGCCTCATTATCCAGTAAAATGAGCTGAATCAAAGGTAAATAGAGCTGGATAAATTTAATCTTGGCATTTAATAGCTTCCCATTTTGACACATATGAGAAATTAAGGTGGCAATAACAATATGGATATGTTTAAAGTTATAGCTTACACTGGTTATGAGTATGTGTGTATACATGTTTTCTTTGTCAGTATGGGAAGTTTAGAACTTGAACTTAAGAACAAGTAGGAATTATTCAATTAATTTTAAAACATCATTTGCTAGAGCTAGAGAGATAACTCAATGGATAAGAACGTTTGACAAATAAACATAAGCTCAATGGGTAACATTTACCATACAAACATAAGGACCCAAGTTCAAATTGCCAGTGCCCAGAAGATGCTGGGCTTGATCATCTATAAAGCTATAGCCCTGGTTCTGTAGGTACCAGAAAGAGAAGTCTTTGGGGCTCACTGGCCTACAGCCAGGCTCCAGGTTCAATGAGAAACCTGTCTCCAGAGAATAAGGTGGAGGGAGTGAGCAGAACACTTATGTCTTTCTCTAATCTTCTTGTGTGTGCACAGGCACAAACCCCACACACCTCCAAATGCAATTTATCACCCCTATCTGATTCATATAAAGAAGAAGGATGATAATACAGATAGTTTAAAAGGTACAAATCAGAGTATAATATAGACCTTATTCTTGCTTCCTTTTTTTGACTTTGGTAAGTCTAAGAAGCAAGTTATTTCAGTTCAAGTCCACCCAACAAGACCTTTTATGTACATAATATAAATTTATTAAAGTAGCAAGACCCTTCAGTAGTTTCATCTCCAGAGGAGAAATTTACCATAAATATATATAACAATATGTTGAGTCTAAAAACCAAGATGTATCCAGGACCTAAGAAGGCTGCTAGAAATATTTCCCTGTACCTGCATCACTCATTTGCCTTATTTTTGTCTGAAGAACTTTCTTGAGAACATGAGCAGAAATTCACGCATCACAGATCTCTCTTGGCAGAAAGACTAGTAATCTCTGCATTCTAACTCCGAGTCTCCATGAGAAGGAAACACTGATCCAATGTAGCTCCAGTTCCTCCTCCCAGGCATTTCAGCTGTGACTGATGCAGCCAGGCTGTCTAGAGGGAAGTCACGCTGTGGATTGTGAGATTACCAAGAGCTGAGCAGACAGCCTCCATATTTTCTTTAGATATTCACCTGAGAAGTAAGCATATACAAATATGAAGGATTAAAATATAATACAGTGACTACATAGGAAAGTGATATATAATAGAAACAGGACAGAACTTGAATGCACAGAAAGTCCTGTGTTCTGAGGATAGTCACACATTCTTCATTCATCATTTTATCTTCTAATTTATAAAATGTAGGTGATGATATTTCTACTTGAAGTCATTGTGAGATAACTAAATGCAGCACCTACTAAATATACAATGCATGGCAAAATTCAGGATAGGAAAGTTTACTTCACTAAACACGTTTTGTACACACAACCATGGTGAAGCTCTAGACTATACATTGGTAGTAGAATTAAGATATAATCTTAAGGAAATCTATGTTTGTTGGTGTTCAGAGACAAATGGACAGATAATACAAATAAAATACAGTACATTTGTTGACTATAAGCCATAGATATGACTTGGGCAAGTTTTTGGAAGGTGCTGAAACATAGATGAGAACTTAGTTGAGATTTGAACAAGAGCATCTCACATGAAAATGGGATAAAACTTCTTGCTAAACCGAAAGGTGGATGGTTTACATTTCCTGTGGCAGGGAAACTATACTAGGAACATAAAAGACGTCTTCTAAATGCTGCTGGCAAATATCAGTACAGTTTTCAGTTTATGTTTGTTTATTTATGTATTCATTTTTGAGCCAGAGTCCAACTATGTCTAGTCTTGTCTCCAGTGCCTACGCTTGTGATCCTTTCCTCAGCCTCCAGAGAGATGGGACTACAGACAGGTAGGTGTCACTGGACCAGATTTTCAATAGTGGGTTTTTTTTAAAAAAATATTTATTTATTTACTACATATACTGTGTTCTACTTGAGTGTATGCCTGCACACCAGAAAAGGGCAGCAGTTCCCATTATAGATGGCTGTGAGCCACCATGTGCTTGCTGGGAATTGAACTCAGAACCTCTGGAAGAGCAGCCAGTGTTCTTAACCTCTGAGCCATCTTCTCCAGGCCCCTTCAGTAGTGTTTTTAATATAAGCCTTTTCATGGTAATGAAGCCTGAAAACCCACAGCGTGGGTATTTTACCTTATGGCGAACTGAGAGCATATTTTCTGTGCCCCACAAAAAATAAGAAATCAAAGAAGAAGGAGCAGGATGTCGCATTCTTGGTATAAGATCATGATCTTTTCACCCCAAGCTTACATTAGAGATGTATCCAAAGCACCTTTACTGGATTTAACTGGCAAGAAAAGGAGCAATGGTACCAGCTTGGGCATTTTAGAATTGCTGCTTTGCACTCTAGTCCAAGGCTGCCAGAGTGATTTACCATCTCTGAACAATTTGTTCACTTCACTTAGAAATTAGAAATGTGTTTTGGCCAATAAATCTAACTTTATTTTGTAGTAGTCATTTTTCTTAATGGGAGTGTTTTCCAGATGTTGCCTAAGTCTAGTCGTCTGGGCCCTTGGCCAGAAAATGAGGGAAGCTTGATTTCATAGCTTGTCACTGTTGATTTTGCCTAACCTTTGGACTCATTGGGTCATCCCAATCCGTTTGCACTGGTATATAAGACTTCCAGCAACACTGGAGAAATTCATCTCTCCTTTCACAGGTAAGTGTCGAGGTTAACATGCTTTTTGTAGTGTTAAGTATGTCTTCATTAAATGTGTTTGAAAAAGGACAGTCGTTGGAAGGTTTTGAAAAGAGTCGTAGTTGTATGAGATACTCATTGGAAGCCTATGAGTTTATATTGAGTTAAGGAAAAGTTGGAAGAACTGCTCCATTGCTCTTGCTAATCTCAGTTATTGAAGCCGGTTATTCTATCTCCAGGACATGATCTAAAACTTGCACTGTAAGTACAGACTACTCCTCCAACAGAGTTTTAAAATAACCCTTTTTCTGCTATTATTTTGGGGTTTTATAGTGGTTGGTAATTCAATTGAGGTGGCTTGCTCTATATCATATGAAACAGGACAACCAACTACTTTCTTCAGGAATTCAAGCTGATTGCTCATGCATTTTGCTTTAAGAATGGAGTGGCGTATTACTGACTTACATTTGGAAAGTTTCTGAACGCTGTGCATGTCACACACATTATGTAGTAGTGACATTAAAGAGCAGGTTTCTGACACTTTCATTTTTATTTCAGGCAAGGGTGTCGCATCTGAGTACAACCATGGAGTGGAAAATACTTCCCATCTGCTTGTCGCTGCTGCTCCCGGCTCTCTTGATTCAACAAGTTTCATCTCAAGGTAACTTCACCATCAAAAATGCTTCTATCCACCCACTGTTGTTAAACACCCAGCTGGGTTTTATGACAACAACAAGAAAATATATTCAGGGACATATACATTTGCTTGAGTTTAACAATTGGCAATCCTAAATTTGAAACACACGCAGTACATTTGTGTGTTTTGGAATTCTAGCCTTTCCCTCTGGCACTGTGAGAGCTTTGAAGGAGTTCTGAGTTGTGATAGAAAATAAGGTCCCTACTCTGTTCATTCAGATTTTTTCCCCAACCCCCCCCAAAGAATTACAGACATTTACATAACTGTGCTGGAGCTACACAACACCGTCAAAAGAAAAGAAAGGGGGTGGCTTAGGAGACACCCAGTGTTGTGAGTCTTAATGAAGCAATGCTTATTTAATGAAAGTTCTTTTTTAAATAGATAAACTTATAATCAGTGGGACTGGGAGATGATGGCTTGCTGGTAAACTGCCAGATGCACAGCACTACAGTGAGTCCCTAGCACCCATGTGAAAAGCTAGATGCAGCGGTACGTGCCTGCAAGCCTGACTCTGGGAGCCAAGACAGGCTGGCCCTGAGCTCACGAACAAGCAGACTAGGTCCAGTGGCCAGGAAAATGAGGCAGAAAATGATAGAGGAATCCTGGCATCAACCTACCCACACACACATGCATGTACCACACACACACACACACACACACACACACACACACACACACGTGCAACTAATGGTTTAAATAGCAATAGACAGAAGGTTATAATAGACCATCTATGAAAAAAATAACTGGATTTGTTCTAGAAATCTGCTAAGTGCAAATGAATACTTTTTTTTATTAGTTCAAATTAGGAACCAGCTTGCTTCACATGTCAATCCCATCTCCCTCTCCCTCTCCCTCCCCCAAGCCTCCCCACCAGCCTCCCCCACCCCATCCACCCTCCACTCCCCCGGCAGGGTAGGGCCCAGCCTACGCCCTCCCCCATGTGTCCAGGCCAAGAGTGCATCCCTTCACATGGGATGGGCTCTCAAAGTCCCTTCTTACACCAGGGAAAAATACTAATCCACTGCCAGGGGCCCCCTAGAGTGCGGATGCCTCCTAATTGACAGCCATGTTCAGGGGTCTGGATCAGTTCTGTGCTGGCCTCCCAGACAGCAGTCTGGGGTCCATGTGATCCCCCTTGTTCAGGCCAACTGTTTCTGTGGGTTTCTCCAACCTGGTACCGACCCCTTTGATCTTCATTCCCCCCTCTCTGCAACTAGGTTCCAGAGTTCAGTTCAGTGTATATCTGTGGGTGTCTGCCTCTGCTTCCATCAGCCACTGGATGAGGGCTCTAGGATGGCATAAAAAGTAGTCATCAGTCTCATTATAGGGAAAGGGCATTTATCCTCTCCACCCTTGCCTAGATTGTCAGTGCAAATGAATAATCTTTTGATGTTGTTTTGTCTGCTTTTCTTGCCTTCTCAACCTCTTCTCATTTCTCTCCCTTTATATATAATATATGTATTGATATACATACACTATATATGCATTTTGTATGTACTGTGCACATATATATGTAAGCAACCATTCTAAAAGTTATCCTACTCTTTATTGTTTATATATGTATTAAAACAAACTTTCCTGGATTCTCTTGAGATTTTTTTTTTCAGTGTATTTTGATATTTCCCTACAGATTAGAACATTCCAGAAGGGGGTTTCATTGTTACATTCCTGCTATTATCTCTTGGGGAGGATCTTGCAGTGTTATCTGCCAAATAGTGTTTAGAAATATCTGAAGCTAGTTATTCTGCCCCATCATTATTGTTTGCTTGTCCCCAGACACTCAGTTTATGACCTTTATATCCACACCCAGATCTGATTTCGAGAGTTCTCTCTTATTCCTACCAACAGAGAGCACCCAGAAGAGTCTGTGCTTGTCTAACCATCTAAGTTCAGCCCTAAGCATGAGAGGCAATGCAGTTAGTGGAGAAGGCTCATGCTTCAAATTCAGACATATGAGTTTAAATTTGAAATGGGCAATTTGTTTAAGATGATTACAAAATCAATTGTCCCAAATCAGGGCATTTGTAAGAGTAAAGGGGTTGTACAAACAATGAATATATATTAGTTGATCAATTATACACACACACACACACACACACACACATACACACACATTTACATACAGTAACTAGTTGTGTGTCATTAGGCAAGTTATTAAAATTTGTCTTTTCTTTTTTTTTTTTTTTTTTTTTTTTTTTTTTGAGACAGGATTTTTATGTAGCCTTAGCTGTCCTGGAACTCACTCTGTAGACCAGCCTGGCCTTGAACTCATAGAGATCTACCTGCCTTTGCCTCCCGAGTGCTAAAATTAAAGGCGTGTGAGCTACCACCACCTGGCCTATGACTTAGATAGGGCTACTAATACTTTCTTAGAGACATTTTCCTAAGGTTTGGAGAGAGTGTATAGCTCAGTGCCTGGCATAGGGCTGCTCAAAACATGGCCACTAGTAAATCACAAGAGCAGCCATCTGCAGCTGTCATGGCCACCTTTCCCCTGGGATTATCACTGCTCATGCAAGCATTGCTTAGCCAGACTTTCAAAGGTGTATTTATCATCGAACTCTAGTGAAGAATAAAATGACATGAGTAAGGTCACATAAAGACCTACCCAAATACCAGCTAGATCCATTGCTGCACTCTGTTCCCCATATTGCCCAGTGGGTAAGACTCTCCCTCTCCGAGGGCTTTGTTCTCCTTAATAGATCGCCCCCTTTTTTAAGTGTTTTGGCCGTGTTTACCCTAGTATTGTATAATTTTAGATTTATCAAGCTGTGCAGGGAGATGTGGGGAAGGGTATTCTAGAGGTGCCACCTGCAACTGTGATTATAACTGTCAACACTACATGGAGTGCTGTCCTGATTTCAAGAGAGTCTGCACTACAGGTATGTTCTGAGAGCTGGGCGTCTTCTGTCAAGCCCGCTGTCACGCTGTTCTGAACCTGCTTTGGCACCCTGTGTAGCTCCCTTCCTCCCCCTTCCCACCTCCTCTGTTAAATGCCTTTTCCTTCACTTGCATAAACGTTGATGTACACCGCACCTGAGAATTGTTTCAAAGCTTCTGATTTCCGGGGTCGTGGGCAAAAGCCCGGGTCCTTGTCACATGCACATATGTATCCACTGCTTTCGTGTAAAATGTCTTAAGTAGAGGCTTAATAATGTGACGTGGTAGTAAAAAGGACGGCGTACTTCTTCACTAACAGTTGAGTTTTGATTGCTTAGATATCGAGCCTTTCAGATAGTTTCACCAAAAGGATCGGTAGGCCCTGAAGACTTACATATGCTATTTGAATTTTGGGTATTAAATGTGTTTCTGAATTACCTGAAGAGGATATTTTAAAAGATCAAACAAATAGCAGGGTTGAATATTGAATTTCAAAGGCCCAAAGTTCTGAATTATGAGTGGTATTTCAATTGAACGCTATGTAGGCCATTCCTTGTAATAGATGTAGACCAATTTAATATTCAATTTATGAAAACTATAAAAATCTGGAAAAGTTATATTTGCATTAGGATTTTCATGTGGAGGTGGTAATGATAGTGCTGTAAGTTTGTGTGGTGGGTAAAGTATTTCAAGCAGGCCTTAAGTCATTGTACCTCCCATCGAGGATTTTTCTAGAACAAGCAGGCCTATGTTCTATGGCATTAATTGAAACCTTTCAATCCCATTCTCTACCAGTTTGTCATCTTAGGAGTGTCTGTATTGCAAGTGACTTTTTGGCCTGCACAATGGCCTGCTCAACTAGTATCTTGGGATATATTGTTATAAGATAGGGAGATTCAATGACTATAGTCTGTTACAAAGAAATGGTTGTTGGAGGCTTGAGGGTTGGATGTAGGACCTTGTATGAAGGGCAGTTTGCTATATAGATAGTTCCAAGTTTTCTCTTGTGTCTACACATGTGCAGGACTCAGGCAACATCAGGGTGTCTCGAGTTTTACAAGGAAAAGAATGATGCCCCAACTCATCGGATTTCCTCCCTGACTTAGGTTCTCTGTTTGGACATCATCCTTTTAAATTTAATTTTTAATACTGGATGATGTGTGTCCTCCAAATTCCAAATATGAGACTGAGAACTGCCCCCTTGGGACTCTAGTTATCTGTCAGATGAGAAATTCTACAAGATATATATGTGTTGCTTTATGACTAATAATTCTCTTTGCCTGTTTTGCTCTGGACAGAGCTCTCCTGCAAAGGTCGCTGCTTCGAGTCCTTCGCACGAGGGAGAGAGTGCGACTGTGACTCCCAGTGTAGAGAGTTTGGCAAGTGCTGTGATGACTATGACAGTTTCTGTGAAGAAGGTAAGAACCAAGGCACCAGCCAGTGCTGCTCAGTACAGCCAGCCCGGTACACACCTTGGCTTGAGTGACGTCTAACAAGCATCCAAGGTTTTGATTTTACTAATGGAGAAACTGCTTAATAATAACTTTGTTTCACAAAGACAAAGGAAAGCACCTTCCACCAGGAGCCTCACAAGGACCTCTAGTTCACCCAAAGGAGGGACATGGGCTGAGTATACACACTTTTATTTCCCAAGGTGCTTCTTTTACAGTTTAAAACTTGTTCCCATCTAGTGGTATCCCACCACAAAATCATCTGCCCTTAGCTTTCGCTTTCTGTGCTCTGAGTCTCAATGTACTGAGTATTTGTTTAAAGGCAGAATACTTAGAGCTTCTTTGTATAAATTAACTCGTCACCAAATCTACAGGCAAATCTGCTAAAGAGTTGATACCTCAATTATTTGTTCCTTCCTATCCCTACAGTCCCCTCAGCAGTCTCTATACAAAGCTGGTGCAGAACAAAGTCAATAAAAAGGGATTGTCTCGCTTAAAAATTTTCTCAGACCATTAAACCTGAAAGAATACTCTCACAGTATAGCAATAGCTCATCCTTGATCCTTTTACAAGATAAAATAATAGAATACTTTCTTCTCCAATATTTGTTCTTAACCATTCTTTGTCAAAATGTGAATATCTTTGGAGGTAAAATTGAGATAAGCATTACTTGAATAATTTGTTCATATTTTTCTTAGGCTGTGCCCCTTCTATTTAGAGTGGTGGAAACTCAATCAGCAGAGCTGAGGGCTGTTTCTTAACTGTTCAGTGTTTTTATAGGAAGTATTCTAAAAGTACTGGAGACAACACCCTTATTTCAAAACCCCAGAGCTGAGCACTCCTGCAGCTTTCAGAAGGCACCATGATGGGGATATACATATTTACTCAATACCTTGATAATTATTTTGGCTAAGAGACAAGCCAAAAACCAAAGGAAACCAAACAAAGCAACACCCTACTTCCCCAACCCCTCCAAGCAGTTAATTTTGGCAGAGGATGGATAGGGAGAAGACTGAGTGAAGACACCGACAGAACATTCTAAATACACACAGTGCTCTGTGCTTTGAAGTATACCTGAGGGTTAGACAGGAAGTGTCAAGAATGGAGGCAATGCAAGACAACTCCATTCACAGATTTCAGGAAGACAGTCAGGCTCCCAGCTGAAAATGAAAGAACTATCCAGAGCTTCAGGACTTTGTTAAACTATGGAAACCACCAAATTGTTTCAGGGTTGCTATAGACACTGGTTATTGGGATCTATCTGAAAATTGCAGCAGTTTCAGAACTGACAGGAGTCATATCAACTCAATTGCCTCCCAACATGGGTAGAGAAGCTGGAAAGGTTATCTGTTTTGGCCACAATCACTAACTAGTACCCGGCAGAACTATTACTCAACATGGCGTTTTATTAAGGGGGGAGGAGAAAGAGGGCGAGGTGCAGTGTCCAGTTCCTGGAAACCAGAAGAGGACTTCTGAAGAGATGGTGGGAGTAGTGGGTGTATGTAACTCTTGTCTTCCCTATCTCCACTACTGTTTTCTTCTCTTTCAAGACCCTCTCCTTTCTTCTGATTCCCAAGGATTCCCTGTGTTCCGTCTTTTAGACACTAAGGAGTGGGAGGAGGGAATAAAAGGCAAAGGAGACACACACCAAACCATTAGTGTTTGTTAATTTGGGAAGCACAACTCATTTGTGGAAAAGCATAACGTAGAGGTGTGAAATCTTCAAAATATACCTGTACAACTTTTATAATAAAAATCAAGGCAAACCGGCACTATTTGATTTAAATGCACAGGAAAACAGGAAAATACATTAGAGTTGACTAGGGCATGCTTTTTCCCATTATCCATATGGAATATTATTTTTGTAATTGCAGGATGATGACAAGATAGATGTTTTAGGTGGGCATTCCTCTTTAGAAATGCTGAATACACCTCACTTTACAGATGGGAAAATGTCCAATAGTTGGGCCTATATTCCAAAGTCCAAAAGGTAGACATTCAGAAGCATTTGACTAGAATTGTACATTCTACCACAATTTCCTACAGCTTGAGAATTACTATTTTATAGCAATGTGTCCTCAGAATTATGGGATTTATTCGTGTTGAGCTATAGCTGTCCTGTACTGACGGCATCTCCTCTTGAAGCCACGTGTCCATGCTTTTCAGTTAGCACTGCTGATGAATCTAAACTGGATGTTAACCAACCTGTCTTGCTTGGCCTCAGTGCATAATCCCACATCACCACCTCCAAAGACTGCACCTCCGCCTCCAGGAGCATCTCACATCATCAAATCAACCACCAAACGCTCCCCCAAATCACCAAAAAAGAAGACTAAGAAAGTTGTAGAATCAGAGGAAATAACAGAAGGTAGGAAGATGGCAGCCATCATTACAGGAGATTTCTGAAATAACCTGTAGGTGGACTATTCATATGAATATCCTCAGAGAGTAATCTTTTGAATCATGAAGGGCTCATCATATTTTTATTTACTCGATTTACATTAAATTTTAAGCCAAAATATAAATCCTTGGATATTTATAGCCCTTATTTACCAAACCCACTATCAAATGAGGCAAAGATCACTGTAAAAAATGAAAATATAATTTTTTCTTTTCTTTAACATAATTAGATTGTGTAACTTTTAGCAGGCATGGGAAAATCAGTAGAAAGTTATATTGTTAGTGTATTTGTTGAACTCAGGTGTCTTGCTTTTGATTGACAGCTTTACAAAGTGAGTTGTTACATTACCCATAAGATGACAGCAGACCACAACTCTTGAAGACCAGTTGTCAGCATTTCTTGTTGTGTGTGGACTGGCGGTTCTTTTTACTTTGTTTTGTTTTAAATCACAGTTGGTGTGATCAAACTTTTTATTTGATTTATAGAACACTCTGTTTCTGAAAACCAAGAGTCCTCCTCCTCCTCTTCCTCTTCCTCTTCAACTATTCGGAAAATCAAGTCTTCCAAAAATTCAGCTAATAGAGAATTACAGAAGAACCCAAAAGGTTTGAGCATTGATAAAGATCAAAGACTCTATCAATGCCATATTAAACAATAATCTTTCAAAAAGTAATGTGTGTTGATAGAACAGCTTGAGATCTCTCGATATTTGGGGAGTATGTAACTATGGAAACACTCAGTCTAGAAAGTACCACATGAAGACACCTTACAGAGACTCAGTGGTAAGCAGCAAAGTCACCCTTTCCAGCAAGGGATCCGAAGATGCTGTAGTAGTGACTGGAAGCACAGGCTGGTACCGAGACAATAGTTTGTGGCAGTTTGTTGCAATTCTTGTCTGGCTGATCACTGTGTCCCTCATCCCACTCCTCTCTGTCCCCTGCTTTTGTTTTTCTATGGTTTTATTTAACAAAAACTCAGTGTTTCCTCAACATTAATTAGTCCTTGACATTCTCCTATACCTCCAGGGAAAGGCAAGATTATTATTCCTGTTATATAGATCTTTATTATTTTCCCGACCTTTAAAAACCTCATGTCTCACTTCTCTTTGCAAGTTAAAGAATAGGCCATTATTTCCTGAGAAGAGATCCCACCTGATCTGTTCTTTGTATTTCCTGAAATTCTAAAATATATTCTTTCTCTAGAAAGTACTGGGATTTTGAGTAACATTTCCCTGAGTGGCCAGTTTCTCTAACTTCCTAGCCAGATAGTCTAACATCAAATTCAAAGAATCCTGCTCACAATGGAAGTGCAATACAAGTTTGCTTTTGGTACTTAGTAGCTCCCCTAAGGGGTAGCTGCCACGGGGAATCTTTTTTTTTTTTTTTAAGATTTTATTTATTTATTATGTTTACAACATTCTGCTTCCATGTGTATCTGCACACCAGAAGAGGGCACCAGATCTCATTATGGATGGTTGTGAGCCACCATGTGGTTGCTGGGAGTTGAACTTAGGACCTCTGGAAGAGCAGTGGTGCTCTTAACCTCTGAGCCATCTCTCCAGCCCCTGCTATGGGGAATCTTAAGAACAGTCTATTGCCCTGGCATCCTAATTGCCTATGTCTTCTGGGACCGTAGAGTTTAGCTGTGCAGTTGAAAAGGAACAGTCAATAGCCCTATGTATGGCATCTAGGTTTAGCAGAAACCTTTGGAAAGAATGGAACCAAATCCTCAGCCAGTTGTAAAGGCCTTTGTAGGACGTAGTGCAAAGAAACTACAAGAGTTTGGGATCAAGTTTCCAGAAAGAAGGGACAACACTGAACATTATGGAATGGGGGTGGGTGGCATGGTGGACCAAGTGAGGGGTAAAGTAATTAACAGACATGGATTCAAGCTACTGATCACTTTGCCGACTTCATGTATTTACATTTAGGGTTTCATTTGTGGTTTTCATTTGCTCACCTCATTTACTCAATAAAAAGTCTCCAAAGACAGAAAATTGTAACTTTTTACCACATATTAACAGACACATTGAAGGTTAACAATTTGCTTACAGACACATAGCTAGTCAATGATATGGCTATGATCCTTGTTACTAATAAAGGGAGAAAAAGTACCCAAAATAACAACTTTTATTTTCTTCTCTAGTAAAAGATAACAAGAAAAATACTCCTAAAAAGGAACCTAATCCAGAACCACGAGGTGTAGATGAAGCTGGAAGTGGACTGGATAATGGTGAACCCAAGCCCACCCCAATTCCTGCCAGTCCCAAGACTACAGCAGCAAAACCAGCAAGTGCCAAACCCAGTCTTGCACCTAATTCTGAGACATCCAAAGAGGCATCTTCAACTTCCAATAAAGAGACAACAGTTGAAACGAAGGAGACTACTGCAACAAATAAACAGACTTCTGCCAGTAAAAAAGAGAAAACTACTTCCGCTAAAGAGATACGCAGTGCAGAGAATAAAGATGTTGCACCCACATCTGATGTTCCTTCACCTACCACCTCCAAGCACTCAGCTCCCACTACCACCAAGAAGCCAGTACCCACTACTACAAAGGAACCAGCTCCCACTACCACCAAGAAGCCTGTAACTACAACCAAGGAACCTGCTCCTACTACTCCCCAAAAGCCTGAAGCCACCACCCCCAAGCAACCGGCTCCCACCACCCCTAAGGAACCAGCTCCCACGACCCCTAAGGAGCCTGAAGCCACCACCCCCAAGGAATCAGCTCCCACAACTCCTAAGGAACCTGCAGCCATCCCCCCCAAGGAACCACCCCCCACACCTCCTAAGGAGCCTGAAGCCACCACCCCCAAGGAACCAGCTCCCACAACTCCTAAGGAACCTGCAGCCACCACCCCCAAGGAATCAGCTCCCACAACTCCTAAGGAGCCTGAAGCCACCACCCCCAAGGAACCAGCTCCCACAACTCCTAAGGAGCCTGAAGCCACCACCTCCAAGGAATCAGCTCCCACAACCCCTAAGAAGCCTGAAGCCACCACCTCCAAGGAATCAGCTCCCACAACCCCTAAGGAGCCTGAAGCCACCCCCCCCAAGGAACCAGCTCCCACCACCCCCAAGAAGCCAGCTCCTACCACCCCTAAAGAGCCTGGAGCCACCACTCCCAAGACCCTTGCTGAAGAAACTCCTGGCTTTTCTGAGGTACCCATACCAGAGGTCCTTGAAAACGATCCCAAGGAAGCCCCTGTGCCACCAACTAAGACTCCCAAGGTACGTGAACCTGAAACGACGACAGCAGATAAAGAGAAGACAACAGAAAAAGACACGCCCCAAACTACCACTGTTGCCCCTAAGAGGACAACAATTATACCAGAAGAGACTAACAAATCAGAAACAAGTGCCACTACAAAAGTAACACCTACAACAACTCTCGCACCCAAAGTAACTGCTCCAACTGAAGAGACTTCTAACAAACCTGAAGAAACAACCCCTGCCGCAGAAGGGGTTGATACTAAGACAACTCTAAAACCCCATAAACCAACCAAAGTACCCAAGAAGCCTGCCTCTACCAAAAAGCCACACAAAGCACCAAAGAAGCACACGTCTACCAAAAAGCCACCCACGTCTACCAAAAAGCCAAAGGCACCAAAAAGGAGAAAACCAAAAACAACACCACCTCCTCTAAAGACTTCAGCAATGCCTGAATTGAACAACACCCCTTTAGAAGTCATGCTGCCAACCACCACCAGCCCTAACCAAACTCCAAACTCAGAGATAGCTGGAGTAAATCTAGATCCTGAAGATGCAGATGGAGGTGACAGAGGAAAGCGTCTGATCCCTATGCCCCCTGTGCTATCCCCCATTGTTATTTCAGGCACTGATCACTTGGCCAGAGAACTCAACCATGGCATTAACATCAATCCCATGCTATCAGGTACTAAGAATCAGTTACTCTCCTGTAGTAGTATCTCTCTACGGAGACCCATGATCTGGAACTCTTAACTTGGAAACTTAGCAAGTATGATTACAGCTTCCCTAGAGGTGTGCAGAGTAAGAATAACCATAGTATACTTGTTCTTCAGGACATTAAAACTAATTAGCATCAGAAATTTAGTGTTGGCAAAGTTCAGACATGTCTGTTGGAAGCAGAAATAGGATATAGAATGCCAAAACAATGTAGTTAGGACTTTATCCTTTAGAAAGTATAAAACAAAGAAAAAGAAATTTTCTTTTCTAAATCAACCCCAAAGAGCAGTGACTTAAAACAGTTCAAATGTCTAATGAATACCTCATGTGCCTGAAGATCAGGATAACCCGACCTCTTACACCTATTACTTTTATATAATACTCCTGAATTCCATTAGGTCAGAGGAATTATGGAACTTTACCATTTCCTTTTCACCTTACTAGATTTTAGAAGGGTAAACAGGAAACTAAATCCTGTTCACGATTTGAAAACAAATTGCTTCCCCGTTCTGTTCCGTATTAATTTTTGGTTTGTTTTAGATGAGATGAATTTATGCAATGGTAAACCAGTGGATGGACTGACTACTTTGCACAATGGGACATTAGTTGCATTTCGAGGTGAGCTATGTCTATATTTATGTGCTGCTTCTTGTTTTGTGTTGGCCTTCCTTCAAACAAAGTCACAACGGCTTTAATTTGAATTTTACCTTTGAAAGGGGAACTGACTCATGATTCTACACTAAATGAGAACACTGGATTGATTAATTTAGGCCCATAAATACCACAAAGTACTTTTGTTATTACGGAAAGTTTCCTTGTGTGACAGGATTTCAAAGTGTCAATTTCAAACCAACAAATGACAGAGATTTGCACTCTCTGAGCACTTTTCTTAGAAAATTATGCCACCATTGTGAGGTAAGAAAAGCTGTACTTTTTGAGAGTAACATAGAATTAAGTAGATTTCCCATGGACTGATATGTCTTCCTAGAACACAGACTAAGTACGAACAGAAAGAAATCACATGTAATAATGTTTAAGAGATTTAAGTAGTCAGTAAGTTATAACTCTAATTCTACAAAGTAAAAACATTGAAACCCAGAGAGCTATATGTCACAAAGGCAAAAAGACCTTTTTAGAGAAAGCAGAAAATGAGGGGGTGAGATGGCTCAATGGATGAAGTTACCCCACTGTCAAGCCTGATGTCTGAGACCTACATGATGAGAGGAGAAAGCCAACTCTCACAAGTTGTTCTGTGACCTCTACAAATACATACATACAAAAAACAAAAACCCAACTTAAAAACAAATCAAATTAAAATCAAGGTGGGTGTAGTAGCACATTCCCATAATTCCAACACTGAGAAGCTGGAGGTAGGTGGGAGATCTGTGAGTTCAAGGCCAGGCTGGTGTACACAGAGAGTCTCAAAGCAACCCTCAAAAGTTAATCTAAAACTTAAAATGTAGGAACTAAAACATCTCTTTTGTTAAATTTTGGATTTAAGAATTATCTTAGAAATACACAAATTTTCTCTTTTGGATCTGGCTGTATTTCCAGGAGCTTAACACATTAAGCATCCATTTTTCCTTATAATCACCACATTCTTTTCCATTCTGTTTTCTGTGGGGATGTATTTTAGCGTTCAGACTGTAGGCTGACATGTCTCTTTAATTTTTAGGTCATTATTTCTGGATGCTAAATCCATTCAGACCACCATCTCCACCACGAAGAATTACAGAAGTATGGGGCATTCCTTCCCCTATTGACACTGTTTTCACTAGATGCAACTGTGAAGGAAAAACTTTCTTCTTTAAGGTAACACAAATATTGCTTGGAAAAAAACAACAAAAAAACCGCAGTTGTACCTTGTCTTGCTATCATTTTAACCTTCAATTTGGAAATAATGAACTGTTCTCTCAAAAGTAAGTTTGATATTATTTATCATCTGTTTATTCAAATTCTACCAAGTTTTTGTATTCCCCCTACACTTAAATCTGAAATGAATTTCACAGCCATGCCTACAAAAATCTTTAACATTACCTTCTCTTTTAAACAATCAGGATTCTCAGTACTGGCGTTTCACCAATGATGTACAAGACGCTGGCTATCCTAAACAGATTGTCAAAGGCTTTGGAGGACTAACAGGGAAGATAGTGGCAGCTCTTTCAGTAGCCAAGTACAAGGACAGGCCTGAATCCGTGTACTTTTTCAAGAGAGGTATGTATCACACAATTGTCAACATGACACTGCCTTTTAAGAACTGACTCTTTGGTGTTTCATTGCTAGAAATATTACAGGACCTAAGAATTATTTATGTCCCCTGCAATGTGAATCATAGAACACGTGGGTCTGATAAAAAATTTAATGTATCTAGATGTGTGTGTAGTGTGCATATGAAAATCAAAAATGAAAAGGCAAACCTAACCCATTCCTTTCTGTGTTTGCTATGTGATTTTCCTAATATGTAACAGGTGGCAACATTCAGCAGTACACTTATAAACATGAGCCCATGAGGAAGTGCACTGGACGGAGGCCTGCCATAAACTACTCAGTATATGGGGACACAGCGCAGGTCAGGAGGCGCCGCTTCGAGCGTGCTGTTGGCCCTTTCCAGACACACACCTTCAGAATCCATTACTCGATGCCCATGAGAGTCGCTTATCAAGACAAGGGTAATGTTTTCATTGTATCAAGAATTCTGATCACGAAGGAGACTATTGGTCAAAAAGCACTAACAATTTAAACTTAATGATGTAAAACAAATCCATTTGCCTTACTGAGTAATAACCAAAGACAATTCTGTTTTTCCTTTGTGGGTAAAGAAAGTAGTGTATTCAAGTTTGTTAATTATAAAAAAAAAAAAAAAGGCAACAAGAACTGTACACAAATCTGTAGCCCCCAAGACAGTCCTAAAAGTGAGCTGTCATAGCAGAGAACCAACTTGAAACCCGAGCTTGTGTAGCTCTAAGGCTGCAAACTCTTTCAAACCTTTATTACAAATTGTGTCTGCAGGTTTCCTCCATAATGAAGTCAAAGTGAGCACAATGTGGAGAGGGTTTCCAAATGTTGTTACTTCAGCAATAACACTGCCTAACATTAGAAAACCTGATGGCTACGATTACTATGCCTTTTCTAAAGGTAAGTAAGAGGAACAGTTTTGTGAGCTTCCTAAGTTGATATCACTTGTGGAAACAAACAATTTAAGTGGAAATGGCAGTGTACAATCATGACTGTATGTAAGAGACTAAATGTCAGTGCTTACACAATGTGAAAGAAGAGACTGCTGCGCTAATCTCATTTAACTGGAAGGGAGTGCAGTTCAGTTCTCCAGCACTGCTAGGAAATTAGGAGAAAACTGGTATGGAAAAATAGTACTTTGTTTCTATTATGAGTGGCACTTAAGATCCCACATATCAATACAGTCTACAAGGTGCACAAGACATTCATGGCACCCGGTTTTATTAACTGAAGTATATTACTTGGAAAGACCACTTATTTAAATTATTTTCCCCATGATTCTATAATATGAAAGCCTAGGAAGGATATTTTAAGGATGATAAAAAGGAAGCGAATCATCTTTTAGATTAATTAACTTGATTCTTTAGATACTTATTTCAAAATGGAGAGGTGAACCTAATATTACTTGAAGGATGCAAAAACATCATCCTATGACACAAATTATTTTTTGCCAAGATTTTAATGTAATCACTTTTGGTACTGAAGTGACAGTGACTTTGAATATAATAATAAACACAAACAAGCGCTTTACCTGCTTTTTAATTAAAAAGATAATTTCTCTCTCTCATTTAGATCAATACTATAACATCGATGTGCCAACTAGAACAGCAAGAGCAGTTACTACTCGTTCTGGGCAGACTCTCTCCAAAATCTGGTACAACTGTCCTTAGATTGATGATCAATGAAAAGTCATCAAAATGAAATGAAGAAAACAATGATAAATTTTGACATTGAAATACATTTTATTAATAAAGAATGTTGAAATGAGCATACCTATTTAAATACAAAACACTTCTCAACTTGACAATCATTATATTAAAACAGATTTGCCAATCTTATTCACAGGTGTTATTATAGTTTACAGATCACTTAATTAATATTCCCTCTATTTATTCCTCCTCTTCCTCCCATTGCATGGCTTACACCTGTAGAAAGAAATAATAAGAGGCAATCATTCATATCTGTAGAAATATCTAAGATATGGAAGTACTAAAATCTTGTATTTCTTCACTAGCTACAACAGCCACAAAACTTCCCATGCACAAAAGAGTACTTAACATCACAAGAATATAGGCAGAGCTAGTATAATGAATACACAGCATGCTATCACATTATATTTTCTAAAGCTTTCTTTGGATCCAGTTACAAGATACCAATTGTATGCAAAATCACATTTTGTAACTGTGACAAATAAACCGCCTAAAAGAAGCTTTCTGGTTGTTAAGTATCACATTATCAACATGTAATTATGAAGCAATCAATCCTTACCATTTACTTTAGAAACTTCTGCACGTTTTTATTCCACATAGCAATGTCAGAAACTTACCTCTCTGTCTGTTAAACTGGCGACCACGAACACCTTGTCTCAATGTTGTCTGAAGTCTTACTCGTCTGAAAGGCTTTGGCTGACTACTGCTAGTATCTAAGAAAGCATTACGATGTAAGAAAAGCAAGTTAGCCAACAAAGCAGCTGCAATTACTAGATCAACACACAGACAAATTCACATGTGCCTGTTGTTTTAATATTCAAGCTTGCTTCTAACGAGAGGGAAACTAAACAATCACACAAGCACACACACAAAATGGTTTCAATATAAAGTAAAAACAAAACAAAAACCCAAAACACAGTATCAAAAAATCTATCTGGAGAAAAGCACTAGAAGTTATTTATTCAACCACTCAAAACTACTTTAGGAGCTTTTTATTTAAGGCAACTACTCAGGTATAGCCATAGTTCCAGGGATAGGGGACTATTATGGTGACAAAGCATCAGGTCCCAGAGAAGACAGGATATTATAACATATCTGACTTGTAGTTTTATCTAATACTTCAAATCTAATCACTGGCAAATCCTGCCAGCTCAAATTTAAACAAACTCACCACAACCACACAGCTATACAGTATCCAAGTCATTGTCATTATTGTGCATTTCAACAGCTTCCAAATTTGGCTGTTTCTGTTCACTAGAGATTAGTCTCTTTTGTACCATGGCTAAACCGACTGCAGCATGTCATTAATCTATGTAAAGAATTTCAGCTGTGTTCTATCTCTATGAAACTCAGAACAATTATGAAGATTGACCTGATTACTCCTTCATCACTCCTCTCACATGCTCCCCAGTCTCAGTCCTCATTCTGCTCCAGTCACAATGACCTCCTTGCTGACTTTGAATGTCTTAGACACAACCCATTTGGCTTATGGGACTTTATACAAGTACATAGCTTTGATCCCTTTCCAAATGTTAGTGTCTTGGCCACACTTCCTGTAAAATTCCCTGCTGTATTAGACATTCAAATTTCCTGAATGAGTACCCAGTCAGACAGAGAATGAAATCAGTGTAAAGACATTCTATTTTCTAGTTAACAACCAACCACATTTTCTCACGAAAGGGCTAGTTTGGTAATTGGTATTACTTCTACTATCAAGGAAGGACAATTCTCAGAGAACATGAACAGAACTAATAATTACACTTAAAATTTCTGATCCTTCTGTCATAAAGCTGAGAGTTACAATTTACATATATTACTTGCAATTCTGACTATACAATTCAGTATGAAATGTGGTTAAGTAAAGTGGCTAGCTGATGAAATATGAGTATAGGAGCTGAATCTAGAGATGTAAGCCAATTGTCAGAAAAGCAACTAAGAGGGCTAGGAAGAAATCTGGGGTCAGCAAAATTATGTGATTGTAAAACACAATAAAGCAAGTCTGTCACAACATATGACTGTTCCATAGAAATTTCAGAATAACCATCATAAATGAAAATAGTAATATTCAGAGTGGATGATAGAGTATTCCATTTCTTCAAAACTGAAGGTGAATTGCCTTATGCATTCTAAGATAAAAAGCCTACCATGAAATTTTACTGAGTGGAGTTTCTAGAGCAAAACTTGCATGCTGGCCTACAGTGTATTTGCTACGTGACCTTGTGAAGTAATCTAACCTTTCTATGCTTTAGTCCTCATACTTAAAATATGGGAATGGATCCCTAGAATATTAGGTTGTTGTGAGAACCAAATAATATATATAAAAGGCTTGAGAATAGCCTGAAACACAGTTAATGCACAAAAGATGCCATTATTTTTTTAAAAAAAAAGCCCATAGAAGTATCTTATTATAGGAAAGAAATAATCTTTCCAAAGTTAAATTAAAAAAACTTGAAGACAACTCTTTACATCAGTACATTTCAAACACAGTTTTGAAGTAAATGGAGTCCCAACCGTCCAGATCAAAGCTGCACTGGTTCAAACAGGAGAGCTGGGGAAACATTCCTCTGATTCCTTCCCAGTACAACAGCCCCCTCCCATTCAAGCAGCACCTTCAGACAGGTGAACAATTAAAATGATCTGAGAAGAAACCAGAATGTAAGTAGCACAGCTAAGAGACCCAAACATTTTACAGGAGCTGTGCTGACACCAGTTATCTGGATGAAATGTAAGTGAACTACTCTTCTGGTAGAGATGAATGTAGGATGCATGGGCACAGTCCTTACCCACAGAAGAACTGGAAGGAGGGTCCTGGCTGGTTGAGGGGAGATCAGATTCATCAGATGCTTGCACAGGCTCCTCTTCCTGCTGGCTATCAATTTCTAGGCCCGCCTCTGAACTAATACTAAGAAAATACACATTGATTAGAAAATGTAAAACTGATTCTAGAATGTATCCCAAATGTTCCCAAGTTCTTTTTGATGTATTTTGTAAGTAGTTTCAGAGTTCTATTTTTAGCTAAAAATTAGGCTGTCAAGATTTTCTTTCTTTGAAGGCAGAACAGGGGGTGGGGGTGAGGATTCAAGTTGTTTTCTCTTCACCTTTCTTACTAAGATATCCTCCTATTTTACTTTTTGTTTTTCCCACTGTAAAACAGCAGCCCTCCTTTTCCATTTGACAAGGATGTTTAGATTCCTGACACTCTCAGGGAATACTTTACACTTTGATAAACTCCCAAACAATATTCTTGGAAGGCAAGTTATTTACAACTGCCCCAGAAGATCAGTAAGTTGGAAAAAAAGAAAAATCAGTAAGTTACCATGAGTAACAAGTTATGGGTATGAGAGTACCTGGCTCAGTGGCTATATTTTCATCTTTCTCCCTTTAAGAAGCACATGAGGGTATATTGTTTTTAAAACCCAAATCTGTTCTTATCTCTCCTCTTTATTATCTGCAAACATTAGTACAATTACTGGTAACAACTTACCCGAGACCCAAAGTTTTAGGATGGGGAGGTGTAAATAGTTGTGTTAAGGTTTCAATTCTCACCTGAGCTGGCTACCAGTAGAACAGTCTAAGCACATTATTGGTAAAATGCTCTAGACTTATTTTCTACAATGGAAAGTAATATATTTTAGGAATACAGTGTAGGCTAGAAGGAAAATATAAAGTGATCTGAAAATATCTATGGAATTAGTGACAGCTAGTATTCTCAATGGGATTTACAACCTTCCTGAAATTAAAAGTACCAATGTTAAAGAATACAGAGACCTGCTTTTTTACCTTATCATACCCAGTAGACCTGGCTTATGAAGCAGTGTCAAAAAAAATTGAGTCCTTGAGCTCTAAGCAGAAAACCTGTGTTCTAGCAGCAATGTTTCTAACCATTAAACAGTACAAACTTCCCATTTTACAAGAATTAGATTCCAGTTTGAAACTTAACTCTTCATGGGCTCCTTTTAACAAGTTATTTCTGTTTCCTTAGAATGAGAAAATTTTTTCAATAATGCCTTTTAAAATTGTCTCTCATAGTAACCCTAAATTCTGAAGCTGGTCAGATTCTGAATGCAAGGTAGATTTTCCAAACATAGGCTTTGGCTTATCCACAGAGTAGGGTACCATTGAGAACAGACTCTTACATATTTGCTTGCTAAAGCAAACAATTATGACAACATACAAAAACCATACAATAAACTCATACCCTTCAGACTCTGCCTCCACAAATACTTCATCTCCATCGTCACCTGTTGCTGATTCATTTGTCGTGGATAAAGTGCCTGTGGATGTTGTCACCATCGGAACAGACTGAGAGGCATGTTCTGAGGCATCAGACGTGGTACTCTCGGTAAACACAGTCACTTACAAAGAAAAGAGAATAGACACATTTACTTTTGTGGTTCATTAATTTTGAGCCACAATAGGTTCAATGGGGTTCTGTGTCACCAATAAAATAAAATGTCCTCATTTGTCTGGCACCAACCTGGGGCTGCTACTTGGAGAGGTGTAGTGGGAACACTGCGGCCGCCAGACTCTTCCTCATGAGCCAGAAAGAGGGGTGTTTCATACATTCCCAAACCTAGAGACAATTGTATCAATGGATGACTAAAAGAACATTAAAACGACAAGGAAAACAATTAGCACAAAGTGTACAATTTTCTTGAAGCTCATAATTTAGTTGCTCCATCAAGCAAAAATCAACCTCAATACATATTCAACACTTCTTTTAAACTCTTTAACATTAATTAAAGTACCCCATATAATTAGCAAAACTGTCTCTTTTCTACTCTCATTAGAACATATTAATTGCACACACACACAAATGGTTTGGTTAACTATAGTGGGAAATTACCAATACGGAGTCAGGTAGAACTCACAAGCGTGGTCAGGCACACCTGTAGCCAGCCCCTAAGTAGGCATGGCTACAGCTTCCCCTACAGTTAACAGTTTAAAACAAGCTAATTTTA